CCTCTTTCCACCTTCTCCTTCTCCAACTAGGAAAGAAGGGAGTAGGACTAGGGAGTAGGACTCCCCCTTGGCGCGCCCTCCTTGGCCGGCCGCCCCCTCCCCTTGGCTCCTTTATATACGGGGGCAGGGGGCACCCTAGAACACACAAGTTGATCTTCGTGATCGTTCCTTAGCCGTGTGCGGTGCCCCCCTCCACCATATTCCACCTCAGTCACATTGTAGGGGTGCTTAGGCGAAGCCCTGCGATGGTTGAACATCAAGATCGTCACCACGCCGTCGTGCTGATGGAACTTCTCCCTGAAGTTTTGCTGGATCGGAGCCCGGGGAGCGTCATCGAGCTGAACGTGTGCCAGGAACTCGGAGGTGCCGGAGTAACGGTGCTTGGATCGGTTGGACCGGAAAGACGTACGACTACTTCCTCTACGTTGCGTCAACGCTTCCGCTTCGGTCTACGAGGGTACATAGACAACACTCCCCTCTCGTTGCTATGCATCACCATGATCTTGCGTGTGCGTAGGAATTTTTTTAAAATTACTACGTTCCCCAACACTTTAGTGTTCTTTCCCCATGTTGGTGTGGTGTTTATGTAATTCTTATGGTCTGGGGAATAACTCCTTGCGGTGTCTCGTTTAGCTTAGTTTTTGTCAAAAATTCTGCTTCTGTATCCAAGATTGACAAATTCTTTGTATAATAGTTGAACTAAATTTCATTGTTGCCTGCCTATTGTCACATGCAGAACTGTATAATATAGTGCTAGTGCATAGCTGCAGCGCAGTTTTTTTCCTCTCAAGATAGATATATAACAATGAAATTTAGCTGTAGGCTGTAGCTATAGCTATGTGTCATGTGTCTAATTACTTCAATTTTGCCACCATAGGCAGTAAATACTTCATACTGAACACATGAGCATGGTGACAATCCTTATAAAAAAACCGCTTTCGTCATGAATTTCAATCTTTATTTTTTACTAATATATTATCATCAGAAGTACTCGTCAAAATTACATATTTTTTGGACTGCACAATGTAAAAAAAAGGTGTATATTTGGACGGAGAAAGCATTAACGACGCGTTTAGTTCGCGACTTCTACACTGTCTCCTGATTACACCGGCTCACGATTGCGTTACAGGCGTTTGTTTGGATTCGGTTAATTTCAGATACCATGTAATCGCAAATCATTCTTCACTAAACTGAAAACACCCGGTACAGCCCGGTATGAAATAATACCACCACTCTTCCGAATCGTTTTCTTCACCGCGGGGAACAGGCAGTAGCGCCGGCCGCCGATGATCTCCCTCCACCATGAACAGCACCGCCGGCGACCCCCCTGCGCCATGAGCAGCAGCGCCGCCGTATCAATTCGCCGCCTCCTTGAGCAGCAACGCTGCCGATGTCCCTTCATCGCCACCGCCATGAGCAGTGCCGCTGATGTCCCTTCGCCGCCACCGTCGTGAGCTGCGCCGCCGATCTCCCTTCCCCGCCGTGAGCAGTAGCGCCGCTGTGAGCAGCCGGTGATCTCGTTTCTCATCGCAAGCCATCCCCGCAGCCGTCCCTCGATGATCTTCTACAGGACCGGCCGGTGGCGGCGGTGCCACTGTTTCCTCTTTCCTTGCGTGAACCAAACACATCACGTATTCGCTTATCTTTGATCAAATACAATGTATTCTCATTACAATACTGAATACGTTGCCGCTGCTCGAACCAAACGCGTCGTAAGTAATATGATGGTTTATGATCCCTTGCTTGAGGCTTCTATGCCATGAATTTTATTGATTCAATTATTTGGTGACTAGCTAGCTCGGGCATTGTAAAAATTAAACCCCTACGAGGTGGAAACACATGAGTAAAATGATTATTCTGCTCTTGTCCTCCATGAGCCCTCATACGTCCGTCGTAATAAAGAATGTTTCAAATGATTGGGTAAGTTAGGTTGTTCAGCATTTGCTTGTGTAGGGGCCTAGGAGGTGTCTAAAGTTCTGAACCGTTGGTCTGTTGGCCTCTATTGAGAGAAGATGGAGAAAATACTGGAGAATGTGCTAATAGTACTTCCTCCGTTCTTAAATATAAGTCCTTTTAAAGATTTCAATATGGACTACATACGGAGCAAAATAAGTGAATCTACACTCTAAAATGTCTATATATATCTGTATGTAGTCTGTATTGAGATCTCTAAAGGGACTTATATTTAGAAACGGAGGGAGTAGAAGTTAAAAGTGTGCCACTACACCATGAATTACCTACTAATAACATATGTTTCTATTGCTGTTTTCTTCGCAGTAATGCCGAGATGATTCAACTTGGTGTTTTTATTCAATTTCCTTATGACGAAGCTAATGTTTAGCTTCAATGTCTTTCCTATGGGTAAATAGTACAAAATGGTTTGACTAATGACATTGATTGATCCACAGGTACCTAGAATGGTCTTCTGGTTGCTGAGATGCGGAAACTAGCTTCTGCGATGTGGGTTTTTCATTTTGTATCCTTCACGCGGGGATCAACCCTCTACGCTGCATGCACTAGTCAACTGGGAAGTGGAAAAACGTAGGATTAATCGTCCAGTGCCAACTTCCCTCTGTTATCTAACGTCTAGACACAATTAGCCGAGTGGCATGATGAAGGCACAGACTTCCTTTGGTTAATTGGTATTTGTGGTACATTTGTCTTATGCTTTCCGAGCAAGCTTGCCTGCCTGCCTGATGATCATTGCTTGTTGTATTTGGCCGGGAGATTTGACATTGTATTTTTGCTTATGTCCATTTTTGTGTGTCTATTGAATTTTATCTGATTTTGGCTAATGAATGTTGATTTACACCTGCCTGCCTGCCTGCCTGGTGCTATTTGTTGCTGCATAACAAGCGTTTCGACCAGCAATGCTTTTATCATGCATGTTTGGAATGTTGATGTACTCATACACTGACCGAAAACTATATAAAGGAAAGATAGCACTAGTAGAAAAAGGGTCAAACATGAAGAACATTAGTGCCGGTTTGTAAAAAACCGGCACTAATGTGATCAATAGTACCGGTTCGTAATGAACCTTTAGTATCGGTTCGTGCCACGAACCGGTACTAAAGGGATGGTGGCAGGCTGGCGTCAGGCCAGGGCCCCACGAGCCCCTTTAGTGACGATTTATGACACAAACCGGCACTAAAGGTCTAACCTATAGTACCGGTTTGTGTAACCAACCGGCACTAAAGAGTCTTAACCTATAGTGACGGTTTGTGACACAAACCGGCACTATATGCCAATTTTCAA